TCTTCTCTGGCTCTGCTGGGCCCTGAGGGACCCCCTCGAGGCAGAAATATTTAGGGAGGAGGCATGGGTAACACTCAGTAATGACCTGCCGTCCCTGTTATCTTTTCTGCACATCAGGACTTGGCTCTTAGGGGAAAGTTATCACACCGATTAAGCGCCCGCTTCCTCGCTGGAAGGGCCTCGCATCCGGCGCGTGCGCCCAGGGACCTGGGCCTCCCGATAATTAAGCGGGGGGACAGGAGCCCACGGGTGGGGATGCTGACAGGGCCGAAAGCACTTAGTCGCTCCTGGCACTTTGGCCAACAAGCTGGGTCGGCAGGTGTTAGACCCCACAATCTGCTCCCGGGGAGACGGGGAGTCCAACGCAAACCCCCGCGGCTGGAGACGCCCTCGCCGGGAGCCCCGGAAGACAGCCCCACGCCTGCTGAGGGCCGAGCAGCTGGATCAAGACAAACATCTCACGCTCGGATCACAGACCTAAACCAACGTGGGCGAGGCTCCCCTTGGGCTGTCTGTCCTCCCTGGGCGGCCGACAGAGACAGCCCAGGCCACGCAGGCCACGCTGGAGGACGAACGTGGTCGGCACAGCCAGGCAGGAGGCCGCCTTCCGGACCACAGCTTAGAGCCAGCGCGCGGGGACAGGGGGTCTCTACCGCCAACAGCCACACGCTCAGCCACGCGCACGGGGCCCCAACTCGCGGCTGGAATTCCTGGGAGGAGGCGAGCGCGCCCCAGAGCGCGCCAAGGCTGGCGAGGAGGGCTGGCTGCGGCATTCGGTGGAAACTGGGGACCCAGGCAGCCCGGTGGGACGGACAGGTGGCTGCTCTCCTGGGGAGGCAATTAAGGAGCCTGGCCTTCAGCGAGGCCCTGTGGGAGGGGTGGTGCCCCGGGGAAGGGGCCGGGCCTCCGTGGAGGTGGGCGCTGAGCCGCCCCGGCGTCGGCAGAGGAGGGCAGCTGGAGGTTCCTCTGCCTGACGGGGTAAAGCAGCGGGTTTGCACGCCCGGCCGTGGGGCGGGGGCGCCGAGCAGTCGCTGGGAGGAGTGTACAGCGTCTGCGACGTGACTTTTCCAAAAGCCCAGAACGGGCTGCGGGCTTGCTTCGTACCCACGCAGAGGCGATTTAGAGCCGCCCCTGGGTCACACGCAGCCCTGACTCCCGACTCCGGCGACTGCAGAGCTGGCAGCTGAGGAGCGAAGGCGCGGGCCGGACCCCCAGGAATACATTTGTTCTGTTGGCAGCAGCTGGAGTCGGGGTGAGTTCAGGAGGCCAGGCCCATATATTTCCAAGTCCAGGCCACGAAGAAGCTTCTCCCCAGGCTGCTGTCCCCGGCGCATCGCCAGGCGCCTGGATCGAGAGATTCAGGACGAGCTAAGATAGGGCCCTGGGGTCCCCGGCCCAGTAAACGGGGAGAGACGGGCAGACAACACAGTTATTAATTCTGCTGCTGATCCGAGAGGGGGAGGTGTTGGCAGCCCCCTGTGGGGACGCCAGAGGACATGACTGAGTCTGCAGAGGTCGCGGCTGGGACATCGCAACCGGAGGCCCATTGCGGGGTGAGGGGAAGTGGCTCCACAGGGAAAGGACAAAGGAGGACATCCGGATCGACCCTGCTGAGCTGCCGATGGGGGTGGCGGTGACCGTGAGGGTGGCCGCAGTTACGGAGCTGCCGTCTCTGGGGCTTGCGGCTCCAAGGTGAGTGCCGAGGGCAAGAGCCTGCGGTGGCAGAGGGTCGGCCCACAGCCAGAGGCACGGGGCAGAGCGTCCCCCACGGCCTGGCTGATGGGGCAGCTCCATGTCGGACACCCTGGCGGGGACAGCCGCCTGCTCAGAGGGCAGGGCTCGGCCCCGGGTGACGAGGCCTCTTGTGACTTTACCGAAAGCCTCTGCCCTCCCCCTGAGCTCCCTGAACCTCGCCGGCTTCTAGATGTCACAGACAAGAACGCATGCGGGGGTGGCTGGAACCCCTGCGCCCCCGGGCACCTCGGGGCTGGCACCGAGGGCAGAGGAGTCCAAAGCACACCTGGGGCCGTGCAGCGGGGAAGCCAGGAGGCCTCCATGGGCCCCCAAAAGAAGGCGACCTCTGATCCCAGGGCAGCGCCGGGAAGATGCTGGCTCCTGCTCCCTCTGCGTCCTCCCCCGAGAGCGGGGCTGTGGCTCGCCCGCCCCTCGGGCCGTCCAGTGTGGGGGGCCCCTCCCCATGGCTGCGCCCTCCCAGCAGGGCTCTCCTGGGGAAGGCCTGGGGACACACTCCTGTCCCCACCATTGGGATGTGGCCATTTACTGGGGAAGGGATTGTCGGCTGGCTCGTCCCCAGGCCTGGCCTGGGAGGCCATGTCAGGGAGCCCAGCACATCCCCCATGGCCTGTCCCCGAACGGGCACAGAACTCAGGTGCAGGGAGGTGACAGAGCTGAAGACGTCCCCAAGCCCCAAGGTGGCACGCCTACACCGTGTCCTAGACATCCGCGGCGCTGGGTTCGCGAAGCAGGGGCCCCAGCTGGGAGGCAGGCAAGGCTGTGGCGGCTCCGCAGTTTCCGCGTTCAGCCTGGTGCTCCCCTCGAATGGAGTCAGGAGAACCACCTACACCTTCTCCCTTCCCAGCCAGCGGCTGTCCGGTGCACGGGGCGGGTGGTGGCGGGGGCGGGCAGCGGCGGCGGGCCCTGCCAACAGTCCCCGCCGGGCAGGCCTGCTAGTCCTCAGCCGCGGCCCCGCGGCCGGCTGACGAAACCCTGCTAGTGGTGAGGCGTGTAAAGGCGCCCTCTGCTGCTCCCCCCCGACGCTGCGGTTCGCGAAGGGATGGACTTTACTGCTTCTCTTAGGAAGGTTTGATGTGGGCTATTGTTGTGCCTCTGATTTTGTAGGAAGCACAGAAGTCTAGAGCTCCATGGTCTCAGCAAACAAAAGGCTGCAGGGGGGAAATTTAGCACAAAGCATTGACGATGGAAGGCACCCCGTGCTGCTAGCTTTATAGGAAACTGTGTTTAGTCTCCTTTCTAGTCACCCCAAAACAGGAAACAATGCTGCTTCTCGGCCACCACTGAAAGGGCTTGCTGGGCTTAGCTTTCATGGCCAGAGAGAGAAAGGAGGGAAGACGCTATGCTGCTGGTGGAAGGCGGAGGCGAGGCCTCTGGACGCTGGGAAGGCCGGGGATGGGGGTGGAGGGTGTTCTCCCCGAGCCTCCGGCGGACGCAGGGCTGGGACGGAGCACGTCTGTGCTGCTTTAAAGCCCCGAGTTCGTGTCCACAGCAGCAGAACGTGAACCACCTGGCCCCCCAGGAGACGGCAGGCGAGGAGGACACACAACAGTCCCAACTGCTCCGGGCGCCACCGGCGCCTGGTCCCTCCAGTTACCCCAAGACCGTTGCGGGGTTTGCGCGCCTGCGCAGGCGCGCGAGTATGCGCTGTAGGGTCAGGGAAGGGGTGCACCTTTGGGAAACGCCTACGTATCTACTTTCTGCAACTCTATTCTTGAAAACAACTTCAAAAGTGCAGAAAAGTTGGGAGAAGAGGTCAGAGAGCACCGGCAGACCCTGCCAAACAGGCCCGCGCGATGGGGCGCCTCCGCCGCGTGGGGCTCGCCTTTCTTTCTGAGCCGCTGCGGGCGCATCGCGCAGGAGGGAGTCACACCCGTCCACGCCCCAGAACCCTGCGCGGCAACACTCCTTGTACACGACGCACGTCTGTTGCCCTGTCACGCTCACTCGCGCAGTCCACACCCGCTCGCGCTCCAGGCCGCGAAGCAGCCCGCACCCTGCTCGACGGGAGGCGGGCGGCGCAGGAGGGCGCTGCGCCTCGGGCCCCTGCCCCTGCGGCTGCCACGATGACACCTTCCTCCCAGCGCTGCGCACACACCTTGCATCGGTCCTCACCCGTCCTTGCAACCCGGGACTCCCGTGTCCCCCTCGCCCCTTAGGGCCCGGGCTCCGAGAGGGGCACAGGGCGGGGGGGCCCCCGGGATCTGAACAGGCAGGGAAGCACCGAAGCGCGCCGTGAACTTGGCTCTCGCCTGGTGCCCCTGTGCCCACACCCGGTGACAGGAGGGAGCAGGCTCTCTCTCTGCCCCGCCCCACGCACGCCTCGCCTCTGCACACTGAACTTCACCCTGGGACGGGGAGGGCCAGGCCAGGACGTCGCCCTGGGGACTCTCCGAGCTGAGAGTTGGGAGCAGGCAGCCCGTTCTAGCAGCCTCCTCGCCGACTCACTGTGTCCTGAAGACGCAGGAGGAGCCCTGAGCGTCTGGCCGGCGCATCCCCTGTCCGCCATGACCACGGCTGCTTTCAGGGTCAGCGCGATTCACGGCAAGTGTGTGTCCGTGTCAGACCTGACAGCCGTGCTGGCCGCACGCAGGAGCTGTCGCACTTTACTCAGGAGAGGAGGGCGCAGGGGCCTGCGGAACGCTCTGCCCCGAGGGCCCCAGACACGAGCCGGCCCCGGCTCTGGCGGCTCGGCCCCTCTCCGCGCTCACTCGCCGACGCTGGAAACGGGACTGGAATGACCTCCAAGGTTCCCTGCCATGGGGCGGACCTGAGGGGTGCCTTTGGGGTGTAGGTCACCGGGGGGGGGGCATCTGGAGAGACGACTGGCCCAGCGCCCCCGTCGACAGGGGGTGCCAGACCCGCTGAGGACCAGTGGCCACTCAGCCACGCGTCTGCAAAGCAGCCTGAACCCTCTGGCTCCGACGGCAGGTGAAATCGGGGCGCCTGCCCGGAGGGTTTGCTGGAACGCAGGACGTGGGGAGCTCCGTTTTAAGTGCGCTCCATGTAAGCAAATGTTCCTCAGAAGTGGAAACCTCCCAGACCACCCGCGATGGACAACAAGCAGGTCCACCAAGGCCTCACCCAGGGCAGGTGCGGGGCCTCTGCCGCCAGAGCCCAGCTCCCAGCTCCCGGCCACGGTCCCCCGACGTGAGCCCCGGGGACTGGCGAGGCGGGGGCAGGGAGTGGGGGGACAGCTCCTCTCCGGAGCCCATGTGGTGGCGGCAGCTGTGGAAAGTGTGGCCTACCTGTCATCTCCTTTTCAAAGTAAGACTGGATGTCCTGGCCGTATCTGGACTTCCCCGCCACGGCCTCTTTCAGCAGCTGTCCGCAGCAGACTGGAGGGGAGAGGACAGGAAGGCGCATTAAAGTTTCGATAGGAGGAGGATGAGAAGAAAAGAAACCCCAGCGCCGCCTGCTGCCCCCCCCCCCAAAAAGGTCACTGAAAGAAATACAAAAGGGCTTTCCTGCGTGTGGGGGTGTGTCCGCGGGATGGAACGTGAAAGAGGAACTGGGAAGTAGAAAAGGGCCTGAGGAGGAAGATGCGGAATAAAAAAGCGTTTGCTTGGCAAAGGAGGGGCTGCAGTGGACGGGGTAGGGAGGACGGAACGGCCTCGGCACTGGAACTGGGCAGGACTCGTGCGCTCAGCGGGAGACTCGCTGGCCCCGGACGCGCCCGCGCACGCTCCTGCCCACACTGCGCGCGCAAAGGATGGCGGGAAGCTGGGCGCTCCCGGTCGGTTGGCGAGCTGTCTCCGTGGGACCGTGGGTCCACATGCAGGGTGACGTGATGGCACAAGTGGACCCCTCGTGACGAAGGCCGCACACTGGCGTGCCCTGGCCGCGCTGCGGCGCCCCCTGGGAGGCACGGCCGCGCAAGCAGGGCCTTTCTGTCCCGAGCACCAGCCGCGGCCAGCACGCAGGAGGCGTCAGTCAAGATGGAATAAACGCAGGTCACCCCCCTCCTGGGCCACCAACGCCCTCATCAGCCGAAGCTGAGGCTAAAGCTGAATTTTCATAGCTGTTAACTGCACAATCTTGCTTTTCTTAATGTTAAGGCCAAACACAATCCTAAAATTAACTGAAGGAAGTGAATGTTTAAGACAACCGCCATCGCCAAGGTCTTCATCCTCCGTGGGGACAGGCTTCCCTTGCCATCGAGATGACAGTGGCGACTGTCCTCCAAATGGTGGGCGGCTTCACTCACTCAGCGAAACCGGAGAACCAGCGAAGGCAAGAGGCCACGGAGGCCGCTCGCTCCACCTGCCGGGCGCCGCGCGCAGTGCGCTCCGCCGCACTCCGTCCTGGCCGCTGCCCGTGGTGGCTCGGCCAGGAAACTGAGACTCCCAGAGGGCAAGTCCCCTGTCCTAGGCCCAAGCACCAGCGAGCAGCGCAGCCAGGGCCCAAACCCAGCTCTGGGGGACCTCAAACGCACGCTCGGCTGCCAGTCTGGCCAGGAAGGAGCGACCAGAATCATATTTACCCTCTGCCATAAACAGCCATAAAATAAAACATACGAGGCAACGCTTTTCAGGGGCTGGACAACGTTATTCTCAAGGGAAGGGAAACGGGGGGTCCCACGCTTGCCCCAGCTCTCTACCTGTGGTCACTTTTCAAGCCCCTGCGCAGGAGAGCAGAGACCGAACAGAGCAGCAGGAAACAAAGACTGGAACCTGGGGCTCCGCGACAGCAGGAATTGGTGGATCGGGGTGATGGCGCGGGGGGCGCTGTGCAGGGAAGGGGTCCCGGGGACCCGTGTGGGGTCCCCGTGCATCTCTGGTCAGGGTGGGGCTCCACAAGGCCCGGGAGAGGAACGCTGCTGGAAGCTGTGCGCTGAGTGCAGATTTGCACGGAGCGGGGAGGGGCCGGCTTTCCACCAGGAACGGGGGGGCGGCCGCGCTGGCGCCACGACGCTTCACGGAGACTCTGGGGCCAGGCTTCGGGTGCAGAGGTGCACCGGCCCCAGAGCAAGTGCGCGCGGCCCCACCTCTGCCGCACGGAGAGCAAGCCCGGCCGAGGGGCTCCTCCTCCCGTCGGTGAACTGCTTGTTAAAGCGCAGCTCTTTGGATCCCAATATTCTCAGAGCAAAGCCACACAAGCCAGACTGAATAACATGCGAACCGCCACGTCCAGCGTGCCGTGAAAAACTGCCTGAGAGGCAACAACAACGAGAAGAAAACAAAACAGGAAAATGCGGCCCCTGTCAGGAGAGAAACGGGCCCCCGAATCGATCGAGATGCCACAGGTGCCAGGCCCGCACACAGGCCCTTTGGAGCAGCTGCTACAAGTATGTGTAAGGCTTCGAGGCGAAGACAGTTACAGTGAGCAACCGAATGGAGGGATCTCAGCAGAGAACTGGAAACTTAAAAAAAAAAAAAAATACGGAAATACTAGAACTGGAAAACATCACTGGATGGGCTAGACAGGAAAAGAGACAATGGAAAGTATTCAAACTGAAGAAAAGGGTGCGGGGGGGCCTTGGAAAAGAACCAAGAGCTGAGGATGATGCCAAATAGTCCAACGTGCGTGGAACTGGAGTTCCGGGAAGAAGGGGGTGGGGGACGGGGGAGGCAGGTAAACACAGTGGCAGAAGAATTTCAGAATTTGATGAAGAACATCAACCCACAAATCCAAGGATCTCTGAGACCCAAAAAGAATAAACAGAAAGTAAGCCACACCTTAAATACATCACCGTTGCATTTCTGAAAACTAAAGATAAAATACGAAAAGCAGCCAGGGTGGGGGCGATGCTTTATCTGCAGGGAAACCGCGAGGGGAACGCGGTCGGAGCCTCATCAGAAGCGTCGCGAGCGTGAGACGATGGGACGCGGCCTTTCAAGCGCTGTCATACGGATTCCTATGCGCCGCCGAAACACCCTCCGCGAATGAACGTGGAATAGAGACATTCTCAGACAGATAAAAGCGGAGAGAATTTGTCACCTGCAGACTCTCACTACAAGAAGTGTTAAAGGGAGTTCTTTGGGCTGAAAGAAAATGATATCCGAGGGGGACCTGGATCCAAACAAAGCAGCGAAGAGCGTCGGCGTGGGGGTGTCTATGAAAGCCGTTCCCCCTGCGTTGCTTGACTTAAAAAAAAAAAAAGACTATATACAGTGAAAACAATTACAATGTATCATAGCATGTGTAACACATGTAGAGGTGACACGTATGACAACAAGACACGAAGGACAGCAGCAAGGTAAAAAGAAATACCCTGCTGGAAGGTTACCGTGTTAGACACGGAGAGGTAGCGTGTTCATTCAGGGGAGACGGGGCACCGCTCTAACCCCCAGAACCACCACTAACAGGCAGGACGAAGCGCAGAGACGGGGCTCAGAAGGCAACAGAGGAAACAAAATGGGTTGCTGAAAAACGCTCGGCTAATCCAAACGCTGGCAGGAGCCTCTGCCAGGGCATGAGCCTGGGTTACGGGCCTGGGCCCGTTCTCCCGACGGGGCTCCGAGCGAGGGGCAACTGCTCGGCGCTGCCCTCCCTCTCTCCCTCCCTCCCTTTCCCTCTTTCAGCACGTTCTCAGGGGAGGATAAAAAAATAAAATGCCTATGTAGATAGTTTTAAAAAACTTTCACAGATACAGCCCACAGACACGGATCATCAAAGAGTGGCCATGTTAATATCCAAGTAGACTTCAAGAAAATGAGTATTGCTAGGGAGGCAGAGGGCCACTTCCTAACAAGGAAAGGGTCATCTCATCAGGGACGTAATGACCCCAACTGTACATGCACCTGATAACGCAGCGTCAAATGGCGCCAAGCCAAGGCTGAAACAGACAGGACCCACTGGAGCTGCGATTGGAACACCCCTCTCTCGGGACCTGACTTGAAGAGGAGGCAGAGGCTGTTAAGGCCACAGGGCGTCTGAGCAGCAGCCTGCACGTCCTGGCCAACGCTGACCGAGCGCCGCAGATCGCGCCGGAACACGCGTCCCGTTCACGGGCACGTGGCACTCACCGGCACAAACCGGCCACAGGCCGGGCCATGAGAAAGTGTCAATACAACCCCAAGGACTGAAACCACACAGAGTGCGTTCTTTGAGCACAATAGAATTAAGTTAGAAGTAGTAACAAAAACAAATCTGGAAAATTCCCAAATATTAGTATTTGGAACTTATGCAGTGCACCTCTGAATAGTACAGAGATCAAAAACGAAGCCACAAGGCAGTTAGAAAATATTTTGAACGGAATGATGAAACACAACACATTAAAATTTTGTGAGAAGAGTTTGGGGGGAAACGTGTGTGAAGCGCTTGCACTAGGAAAGAACGGCTTAAAACCCCTGGCCACAGCCACCTCCCTCTACAGCATCCGTGAAGGAAACGCGGTAACAGTCCCCCCTCTCCTGCAGGTGCAGGGCACCAAGGCCTGGGGCTCCATCAGCCCTGGGACCCCGTCGGGACCGCACCTCACTCTGCTCGGGCCCTGTGCCCCGGCCGGACAGGACAAAGTAAACCCTCACGTCCCTCCCGTTGCCTCTTCCCTGTGCCCTACCTGTGTCCCCAGTAAAATATATGCCTTCAGCAGGCACTGAATGAGTAACATGAACGTTTTCATGGTTGCTTCTGGTTAGAAAGTTCACGCTTACTGCAGAACTGTACGATAGGTCACTCTACAGAAACACCCAGTTTGTCGTATGCTGTCCCTGCAGGTTTTTCGGAGCCTAGACCAGCATACTTTTTGAACAAAAATGAGACCACCCCGAACACTGTTGAATGGCTTGCCCTCCGCCCCACCCCCTCAGCAAACAGCACGCCGCTTGGTGGGCCTCGCTGCCACAGCTGCCCCGCCCTCCGCTGGGGGGCTCCTCGTGGCTTTCTGAGCGGACCCTCTCAGAACTGAGCTCGGCGCTGCCTCTGTTTCCCGTCGTGCGCCCCCCCGCCCCCCGCCCAGCTCCTGGCGCAGGCATGAGTGCGTCAATAGAGCACCGTTGTAGGCGTGAAGTCACCGCGCAAAAGGATTTGCACAGTTAGCATCTGAGCAGCGGCCTTTCTTTCAAAGAGCTGAGCCCGGTTACATTCCTGTCAACTGTAAACAGGCGACTTTGAATAAACCTTGTTGGAGTGGGTGCTGGGCTGTGTTTGTCTGGAGACGCCTCCCAGGGCTGGGAGGTTCCTGACGTGGAGACGCGGGCCAGCCAGACGCCCGGCCACGGGGGCGGCGCTGCGGGGCCAGCCGGCCTCTGCAGAGGCCTCTCCGGACGGCGCAGGGGTGGCTGCTGTCAAGCGGGTCCCTTACAACGGCTGCCTGAGAGCTCACGTGTCTCGTATTTATCTTGCAGAAATGGGCGCTTTCTGAAATGGTCTCCAAATGCTCAATTATCAAAAAGCCCCCAGATGGCTCTTTGGCTACAAAGCAAAAACCTTGGTGAGGGTTTCTATTTTCATTTTTAGAAAAATCTAGCCTGTCAATTGCCTTTCTGCATGATCGGTGTGCTGAAAACAATTTAACTTAAAAAATACTCTTCCTTATGTAGTTGTCTAACCCCTGTTCTGTACACCTGAAACTAATACAGAATAATATTGACTGGAAACTGTAATTGAAAACTACATGTAAAGAAGCCGCTCTTGAATGAGGCTGCCGCATAAGCAGAGCAGGACCTGGGGTCAGGGGACAGGGGACGCCAGAGCCAGGCGCCACCGCATGCTACTCAGACCCCCCGAGCCTGAGGCCGGCGCTCTCCGGTGCCCGGGGCCCGCGCGGCGCCGCGGGGCAGCCCTCTGTGCCGTCTTGCCAGCGTCCCCCCTTCTCCAGAGCTGGGATCCACCCTTAAGACCCTCTCAAGGGGAAACTCAGAAGAAGGAATTGCCTGAATGGTCGTTTTTTTTAAAACCACGGAGGTCAGCGAAAGCATTTTTAATTCTACAGTGGCCAAGCTATTTTTCCATACTAATCAAATCAGAATGTGACTATTTTAGTAAAGTACAGATATGACTACTTGTTCGATACGCGTCAGAATAAGGGCTCAGCTCTCTGCCTTCATTTTGTGGGTATGATTTCTGTCATCAATTCCTGGCTCATGGGACACCTAAGTGGAGGGCATTCTTACTCGGAACCCGGTCCTCCTGGGGCGGTATATGCGTATGCATTTGTATGTGTGCATAGACCCCGGTGTGGTGCGTATGCATAATTTGGGGTATGTATATTTATCTATTTGGGGGCGCAGGTCACATGTTTTCTTCATAAATGAGGTAGAGGTGATTTAGGCTGATGAAACACTGGGGGGGCAGTGCCCTGAACCCCCCGGCTGTGCCGTGTGTCGGCCACAGCCCCTGCCCCCTTCCCTCTGCCCTCCTGAAGACGGGCTGCCAGCCAAGATTGCCTGGGACCGCGCCAGGCAGGGCCTGCAGAACTGATTTCAATATCTTCTCTCCTGGTAAAATATTCATGGACGCCGTGCCGGGCGAGAAGCCGTCCTCTGGTTCAGAGATGGTCTGCCGGCAAACACACCAACCCAGGCTGGGGAGCCCGACGAGACAGGGAGACAAACAAACAGCCAGCAGCGCCGTGTTACGCAGGAGCGGCGGCTGGCCGCTCCGGGGGGCCGCGCGGGGAGCCAGGCGCCACGGCTGAGAAGGGGGGCGGCTGCGATCGTCCTGGCGCTGTGGACACGCGCTCTCCTCAGTTCATGTTCTGGTGGCATGATTCTCAGGGAGGAGAAAACGTTACCCCTGTCAAGGTGGACTCGCTGAAAGCTGTCCAGGGCAGAGAGCAAGAAAGAGAAGCGACACTGGTCGCCTCCGGCTGCCCCCCCCCCGCCCCCCGTGGGCGGCAGGAGAGCCCGGGAGGGCGGGGCGGGCCGGCACTCACCGTTGACGAGGCCATACTTCTGGGCCAGGAGGGCGGCCTGCAGGCTCTTCCCGCTGCCCACGGGCCCGCAAAGCAGCACCCTCGGGGTGAAGGGGGCGTTGGATCGGTGTTTGGTTTGGACGTAGGTCAGGGCTGGAAGAGAGGACGTGGGGACAATCAATGCAGGTCCTAGAGAGAGGGGACCGCCCGGCGCTGTGCGTGGGCTCCCCTCTCCTGTCCCTCTCTTGTCCCTCACGGCTCCATGGAAACCCTCCTGCCTCTGCCGCGTGGGCGAAGCTGCAGGAAGGGATCAGGCTTCGGGCCTGGCACCGAGGCGGCGGGAGGGGACAATGAGCGTCCCTCCTGGCTGAAGTGGGGCTGGCTGTGTTGTTGGGGGCTGGTCCATGGACACAAGACGTGCACTGTTGGGTGGGAGTGTCTCCCAACTGAACCCCAGCTGAGCCCGCCCCAGGCGGGTCCCCGCACGGCAGAGACGGGCTTTGATAACCACATCAGGCCACGCGAGGCCCCGTACATGGGGACTTCTGAAGGACTTGGGGACCGGGGGAGAATAACTTGCGGCCACATTCCGGTGGCACCAACTTTGCTGTGCGCCTCCAAGAGGCCACCATCAGCCAGGTCCCGGGAGAGGGTGACGCAGCCACGCGGCCTGGCCCGTGCAGTGCCCTGGCGTTTGACGAACAAAGAAGTGAGGACACGGGGCGCACCTCCAACACAGGCCATCACACAGAGCAGGACCTGGAACACCCACAGCTACTGAACATCAAACCAGGCCACCCGCCGCCCGAGCACAGAGCCCGGGGAAGGCGCCAGGGCGGCCGGGGGGCCGGGGAAGGGCGGTCCGGGCACCCGGCAGAGGGCACCGCCTTCCTGCTGAGTCCCAGGCCCTGCCGCTCCCCAGCTGCCCGCACCAAAACAGGCCTCCCTACCCAGCCCGCCTGCCGCCACGGACCCAGAGCATCTGTGCCCAAGGTCGGCCATGGGTGGCCCCGTGACAACCTCCCACCTTCAGGGCGGTACTTCCCCGGGCGAGGGGCAGAGCCAGCGTGCTGCCCGCAGGAAGCCAACCTCGCACCCTTGACATTTGGGACCAGACGGTTCCCGGCTGCGGGGCCTGTCCTGTGCACGGTAGGATCTGAGCACCTCCCAGGCGTGACAACCGCAAATGTCTCCAGGCACTGCCAAACGTCCCCTGCTGGGGAAGGGGAACGAAACCGAGAACCCGGAGAATGTGTCCGCTGGGCAGATGTGAACCTCTCAGCCTCTGTAGGGTTTGTTTTTTTTAATTGGCAGGATCATGAGAGACACCACGAGTCCCCTCATTTTAGGATGAAAGGCATAGTTGCAAGGCGACTGTGCAAGGTTGGGCGTGACCTCATCACCGTCGTCGCTGGCACGTGGTGGCTGCTAAGCTAAGCACTCTGCAGGCTCGTTGTGACGCGTGCAGTCCGCAGTCCCGGGCGGGCTGACTTATTCTTGTCCCCACTGACGGGGGGGCGGGGCGGGGCCTCTCTCCCCACCCCACGGCCACGGGCGACCCCCACCAGCGGGGACAGCCCCGAGGAGGCGTCGAGGAGGCGTCCAGGCCGGGGTCTCTATACTCTCAGGCCTTCCGGGGTCACATCTGAGGAGAACCGATACTGCAGGCAAAGCAGCCTGCTTACGAACGATGCTCAATTTACAGTGAATAACCAAGTTAATGAGAAGTAATGATCCCCCAGGCAGCCCCAACATCTAATTACTCTTTTTCAAAAATATGTGGTTGCTGGACGCACTACAGAGAGATTAAAAAAACAACAGAGAGAACTGTGCATTCCAATTTGCTATTTCTCTCTCTGCATTATTAATTAATAATAATTAATATATGCAGACACTCGCATTTTTATTTACAACACCAGGCATGAACTCTTTATGGACGATCACATGAACTTTTAAATTTAATTAAATAATTTGGAAGCAATTAACGTGTAAATTCAGGATCGTGGCATGAGATAAACATTGTTTCGCTTCAGAATGCAGTGTGGCAGCGTTTGCCGCCAGAGGCCCTTCCGAGATGCGAAACCTCGCGGAACGCGGAAGTTATAAGCCGTCCGTAAGCCTGGCGCCTCCGAAAGCAGCATCAGTGTCCGGGCACCCACATCGGGGGCCGACCCTCGAGAGCCCGCGGGCAGGCGGGGCTGGTGGGGGCCGCCCCGGGCCGCTCGGAGCGCCCTGCCCGCCGAGCAGAGCTTCCCTTGACGGGACTTGAGGGAACACACAAAACAGCCGGTGTAAATTGCCGAGTGTCTTAAGTGCCTGGTAGCATTTTTCATTGTGCCATTGACCTGCCACGGCTCAGAAGGGACACTTGGCCTCGCAGACAACTGGAGCGTGGCACGGCTTTAAGAAGCTCCCGTCCCGCGGCTGGGGGCAGGATCACCCTAACTCTCCCTGGTCCGTGGACAGGGGCCGAGTCCCGAGGAGGGCGAGAATGGCTGGTGGGCACTGAGCCGACCCCGGCGGAGGCGTGGCTGCCGGTGCCTCTCTTGTGGCTCCTGTCATGGTCACCCAGGCCGGCGGGGAGGCAGGACTGGCGTTCCCACATTGGGGTCGGCAAAACCGAGGCTCCGCGGGGTCAAGAGAATCGCCTGAGACAGCCGCAGTGGGCACGTCGGGGGGACGTGGACACAGGTCACGGGGCAGGGGAACAGGGCGGCGGGAGGGACTGTTGAGCCCCACCGGTCCCCACTCACACACCCGCCCGCCCGCTGCAGCTGGTGTTTAAGTGGACTCACAACACCCGAGTGGCACTGTGGCTTTTTGGTCTTTGTGGCAGTGGTGGGATTTTGTGGCTGTATTATTAGTGTTTATAGAACTTCCCTCCCGTCTCCCTCGCCCACCCTGAGGGAACCGGGCTGCCCGTCCCGCCCACCGCGGCCCCGCTGCTCCTCGCCCCGCCCCTCACCGTCAAACCTGCTGACCGCGCAGAGAGCGCGAGGTTAGCCCAGGGTCTCCGAGTGGGGCGCTCCCAGGGACCCCACCACGCAGGGACCGCGGGGCCCTGGGCGCGTCCTGGACGCTGCGCGCCGCCACACGAAGTGACCCTGGGACGGGGGCCGTCGCGGCGCCGGGGAGCCCGCTGCCCGCCCGTGCTCACCCTGGTAGAAGACGTCCACGCACGGCTGGTCGGCACTGATGACCTTCAGGACTCTGGGGTACAAGGGGAGGACCTGGACGCTGTTCCTGTGATGCGCCAGCAGCCGCCGCGCCGTCTCCAGCTCCGAGATGCCCGCGGGCACCACCAGGCGTTGCTGGACTTCAGGCGCGGGTGGCCAGTCAAAGGTGGTGTGATAGATCTCTGCCAGGCCAGGAGGACAGGGCTGCTGGGGACGCCGCTGGGGGCAGGGTGGGGAGGGGACGCGGTGCAGTGGGGGCGGGGGGCCTACCTCCCGTTTGAGGGTCGACTCTCTTCCCCAAGTTCCTCTCGATCAGGACCGTGTCTGGGGCGCTCAGCGCAACTGGGCGGAAGCAGAGGAGGAAACCAGGCGTCTTGGGCAGCGAGTCTCGGACCTTTGACCCTCAGGGACCAATGTCTTACGGGTCTGTCACGGGGCGATGACATTGAAGCCACCACCCCCTCCACCCGAGAGGCTTGCTCAGCACCAAACGCGAAGGACACGATCTCAGGGCCAACGAGAGCACACACTCAACCCGTCTGACTGCTAACCAGTTTCACCGTCACAAATGACACCCTGAGGCCCTGGCCCGGCAGCTTCGTTGATGGGTGAGAGCGCGGCCGGACGCGCAAGGATGCGGGTCCGATCCCTGGTCAGGGCACACGCCAGACTCAACCAGCGAATGCGTCAGTAAGTGGAGCAACAAGTAAATCAACATTTCTCTCTCTCACCACCGCCCCCCCCTCCCGCTCCTTCCCTCTGTCTCTGAAATCAATCAGTAATTTAAAAAATAACACCATGAGGGACATCTTTGTCATCGTGCTTTTGCCACATTTTGGATTATTTCCTAAAGAGTTTCTCAGCTGTGGGATTCTTAGAACGAGGAGCCACCAGGGTCAAAGCAAAAGCCCACACTTTTCAGAAGGAGCCCCGAACACATTTCGTTCCCTAAAAAGTCCGACAGTGCCGCCCCCCGCTCCCCGCCCGGTGGCGCCAGGGCTGCGGGGAGCTGCGGGGAGCCGGACGCAGAGCAGGGCACCCCCTCGGGGCTACTCACTGACGTGCCTGGGGGCGATCCCGTGGGTCCGGATCGTCAGCGCCTGCTCCCGGGTCTCAGGGATGCCGTCCAGAATCCAGCCCTGGGCAGGGGGTTTGGAGAGACGCACATCTGGTTTAATCTTTTAGATTTTTTTCAAATTAAAAAAGGAATATGATAGCTTCATTGAAAGCTCAGAACTTTTAAGACAAAAGAAATGCTTCTGACAGCCACATCGCTCAGCCTACCCTCATGTATGTTCTGTTCCCTTCCGAATTTTGTCATGATTGTAAGCGTATCATACATGATTTTGCGTCCCGCTTCGTCCTGTCACGCATCACAGCGGCCACAGCATGTGTGCACGCCGGCACGCCGCTTCATGGCCGCCATTTGAACGGCTACACGGCGTTCCACCAAGCGAGCTGCCACGGTCACCTAACCGCTCCCCACAGGTGACATTTCAGCCACTAACAGCCTTACACGTGTCACAGCATGACGCGCATCTTTGTGCATACTGCTCTTTCCACGTTTCGGCTTATCTCCTAAAGGCAGCTCCACGGATACGGGGTCCCGGGCAAGGAACCACTAAGGTGAAAACCAAGCCCCACTCTCCCGAGGAACGAGCCCTGAGCGCAGCACTGAGAGACCTGAGTTCAAGCCCCTGCTCTGCAGCGAACTGGCTGCAGGGCCGAGACCCCTCAGGCGCCAGGCCCTTCTGGGTGTAGCTTGGGATCTGGTTTAGGAGGTTTCTTTTCATTAACTTCAGGTCCAGCTGTGAAAGTAAGGCGCAGTCAGTGCGCACCGCGTGGGGACACTGACAAGCTGAAGCAAGGGCCCCGGTCGCCGACAACAGCACGGACCCCAACCAGCCACCGCTGACTTTTGCTGCGTCCCCACCCCCGGGCTGCACGCGCGACGGCTCTTTTCCTTGGAGCAGGGGAGGGTCACACGGTCCATGCTATTTGTGGTCTGGTTTTGTTTTTCTGTGGAAAGCAAAAACCCTCCAGGGACGTTCCCGGGCCACAGAACACCCCTCCCTGGGAGCGTCCACGGCTGCCTGGTGCCGCGGGCCTCCCGCTGCCCGTGTGAACGGAGCCACGTGGCCGCGGACGTAGCTTCGTTCCGGTTCTTCGCCATCACATATAAAACATGCTGGACGTACACCTTTATGCCCGCGGACGCATCCTCCCAGTCACCACAGAGCTGCCTGGCCGCTCCGTGGGTCCGACAGCCGCTTCCCTGCTCCTGCACCCCCGGCAGGCAGGGTCTGGGGGGCTCTGTCCAGCAAACTGGCGCCCCACACGCCGCCCCCATTTACATTTCTCTGATCACTAATGAGGTTAAGCCTCTTTTCCATATGTTTATTGGCTACTTGAATTTTTCCTTTTCCAAAGATGCTTATTTGTGCTCTCTCTCCACTTTCCCCTTGGGGTTTTATCCTTTTATTTATTTACAAGAGCTCTTTACATATTAAAAGCATTAACCCATTTTGGCAAACACTGCCACAGACCCTTAGAGGTGAACGGCGTTGCTCATGTCTCCCATGGCTTGTCCCTGGCCTTTCAGCTTTGGGCGTGGTGCTGTTTGTAGCACACATGTCTGTGGCCAAATCTGGTGTTGTGCGGATGTGGAAAAAAAGCCTTTGCTCTGCAAACGCGGATACATATTCACTTGCATTTAAATTGTCTTCTCTTGTGGTTTCAGGTTTTACGTTGAAATATTTCCTGGAGCCACATGTTATCATGGAAATGCTGCGCAGCTGTGACCAGCCTGGTCTCCTCGAGCCTCAGCCACTGCCCCGCCTTGTCTGCGCGGCCGCTCCTCCGCCCCCCGGCGCCACCCCGTCCCATCCGGGCGCTGGCGTGATGCTGGCTCGGGCCTTTGTGCCTCTGGACACGTGTATCCTCCTCACCCCGTCGGAATTACCGCTGTTTTATTATTTATCGTTACATCTAGCAGAACCTGTTCCCCTTTCTTTGTCTTTAAAAAAAAATTATTCTTCCAGGTAGCAAAAACATTCTGTCAGGTTCCAAAATAGCAATTCCACTCGGATTTTGTATTAACATGCAATGTGTATACTGATTTAGGAAGAATCGACACTTTTGCAATATCCAGTCCATATCTCACCTCCCTGTTTGCTTAGTTGTTTTTTACGTCCCTCAGCAATACCCACACAAAACAGCTTCTAAAGTCCCTCCAAGCCCCACGAGTCAAGTTACACGCGCACACACACACACACACACACACTTGACACCCAGAAAAATCAGTTAACGCGAGCTGCGGAAGAGGACGTAGAACCACAAATAGCTTCAGGTCCCCGTTCTGCAGTGAGGGGGGGGGTCAGGCGGAGGCTCTGACATTGGCTCCCCGGAGGGGACCCCCTCTTGCCACACACCCCTCGCTGCCGGTCAGTGTGAGAATGTGAGGTCAGAGGACAGACCGGCGGGCACGCTCAGACCCACGGTCACCTGACGGACAGAACACCGTGTGCGTGGGGACACACGGTGTCTCTCCTGAAAGACAAACAAAGAGGAGACTACGTTTCTTCAATATTAAAATATTTAGGTTCCAACAGCCTCAAGTGACAGGGTGGGGTTTTGGTGGTTTTTTTGGTAAGTTTTAAACAAACTTCCAGAGTCAAGAGTGTTGGAAAAACCAGGCATGCTTTCATTAATTTCTTAAATTATGCAGGAAAACACACAGTCACAGAACCCCTGGTTTCTAAACTAACGAAGCAAAAGTGCAAAAAAAAAAAAATTCTGTAACAGCCTTTTGCTCCCTCAAGTCCTTGTTATCGCCAGCCCGGCGCTGGGCCGCAGCGGCAGAAAGACCGACGTCTGCAGGCCGAGCGCTGCCGCGGGCGCCCGGAGGCGGGCGTCTGAGGGCCCCGAGCTGCGGGCGGCTTCCAAGCCCGGGCCCCTGAACTTCCGCTACACTCAGACCCCTGAGTCTTTATTTGGCTGGGGGTGGGGGTGGGGGGCTCGGGAGCCCACCAATTGCTTCTTCAAGGACAAGGACTGGCCACCGTGTCTCGAGCCCCGTTTGAAGCTGAAAGGAGATGGGCGTGCCGCCCTCACCAGGCGGAGACGGGCCTCGGCGTTTAACACGGCGCCACCGAGCGCTCATTAGCATCTTGCCCATAAATTTGCAGCTGATACCAGTATGTGGTCCAAAGCTTTTAGAACTGTTCAGGGGAAGAGCTCTCGCCGACGGCGCGCTGGAGAAAGCAGGCTTCCAATTACCCAGGAAAAGCGCAGCAAAATGAGGAACATCTCCCTAATTGGCCCGGCCTCGCTGGCGCGCCGTTCCAGTGTGGCTCTGAGACTCAGGAACGGCGACCAAGGGGGCTCTGGAGTGGCCCGCGGGCCCCCGGCTCTCCAGGCTGCTCCTGCAGACTCGGAGGGATGGTGCCGTCCCCAGGAGCTAAGAAACAAGGTCCCCGAGGGACACCGGAGGGCGGCCCCATGTTCCTGGGGCAGGAAGCCGGGCGACCCTTTTTCCCTGTGCTGGCCCAAGTGGGTCCCTCGGGAAAGCAGGGGTGCAGAGATCAAGGCCTCTGCGTTGGGGAGTGCCGGTCCTGGGGCGCTCTCAGGATGGGGGGCCCGGGCTTGGCGCTGGAGACGGTCTCCCCCAGAGCTCCTGCCTTTACAGAGGGTCCCTGCGACTGCCCAGTTGCAAGATGGATCCTACTTCCAAGGGGAAACCAAGTGGGGCGGAGAGCAAGTTCATGCCTGCGAAGCCTGGCAAGGCAAGAAGCCATAAATGAGGAAGCAGCGACCCACCGCTGCCAGGACCGGCCCTCCTCGGTCGGCCCGCCGCGAGGTCCGTGGGCCTGCCTCCCAGGAGCGGCTGGACGCGGAGGTATCAGTCAGTCCCTAATTGGAATACATTATCCGTCTTGCTGACACTTCGGTGAGAGGCCTGCCCCGCTCTGGAGCTGCAGCTTTGTTCGGAGCAGGTTAATTGATATTCCGACGCCTGCGCTCACCATACCCCTGTGGCTTGGTTCTGTTTTATCACACATCAAAGAGGCCGTCTGCTCAGGGCGCCCCGCGCTCCGGCGCGGAGCTGGAGGTCTGCACAGCTGTGAGGGGTCCGGGATCACAGGAGGGACAAGCACCGAGCAGATGTCACAGATGAGAAAAAAGGGAAGCAGAGCAGCCGGCCAGCCTGGGGGACTCGGCGAGGCCCAGCAGAGCGTGGCCTGCCGGGCCCAGGCGCCCACTCTCTGTGAGCGCCCGTCTTCCCTGCCTCCGGACGAGCATTCAAGCGCAATCGGTAATTTCTCGTGGCAAGACGCTTGCCCTCTGGGTCCGCTGCCTTTTTGATACTTGCCCCTCGTCTCCTCCCCTCTCCTCCAAAGACCAGAGCAGGGCGCTCTCCTGGGTTTTCCCGTAGGACGTCCCACCCAGCTCCCAGCTCCAGATCCGGGCGAAAGCTGGCTCCTCGTGGCCCCACGGAGGCCACCCGGGGTGGAAGGTTCTCCTCAGCCTCACTGAGCTCAAAGTCAGGCCCTTTGCGGATGCGCCAGGGCCGTTCCTCCTAATGAATAGGAGGCGGTTTCCCGACACATAAGAGGAAAAGGAGATGTGCTATCAGCCAGGCAAGAAATGCACTTTAAAAGACCCAGTTTGGCAGACTGACGTGTCCTCGCGGACGACAATGGGCCCACAGCTCTCTCTCAGCCTCCACAGGCACAGGTTCCATGACCCTGTGGACCCCCAAAATCCAGACACTCAAGTCCCTTATATAAATGGCGCAGAACAATGCACTCAGTCGGCCTTCTGCACCCGCGGATTCCCAGTCATGAATCGAAAATACCATTTCCACTCGCAGTTGGTTGAATCCGCGGCTGCAAACCCTGGGGATGTGGAGGGCCGGCTGAATGTTTACTGAAAAAAAAAAATCCAGGGATAAGGGGGCCGTGCAGTTCAAGGGCCAACTGCGTTTTGATGACTGGCAACATTTTTATTTTGAAGTTTAACCTCAACCACACGCTACACCTGCTGGCACCTGGGACCCCGCTTGGTCCCTGAGTGTCGCGGGACCATCCCTCCTTCATGGCTCTGCCCTGCCCCCGGCAGCCCCGGGCCCACGGGGCCT